ATTTCTGAGTGTTTTTGAGTAGTAGAGAAAACGTTGCTACTCATTTTCACACTACAACTATTATAAAGGTCACTTCACATATTGTAAAGGTCACTACAACTATTGTAAAGGTCATTACACATATTGTAAAGGTCACTACACATATTGTAAAGGTCACTACAACTATTGTAAAGGTCACTACAACTATTGTAAAGGTCACTACACATATTGTAAAGGTCACAACAACTACTGTAAAGGTCACTACACATATTGCAAAGGTCACTACAACTATTTTAAAGGTCACTACAACTATTGTGAAGGTCACTACACATATTGTAAAGGCCACTACAACTATTGTAAAGGTCACTACAACTATTGTAATGGTCACTACAACTATTGTAAAGGTCACTACAACTATTGTAAAGGTCACTACAACTATTGTAAAGGTCACAACAACTATTGTAAAGGTCACTACACATATTGTAAAGGTCACTACACATATTCTAAAGGTCACTACAACTATTTTAAAGGTCACTACAACTATTGTGAAGGTCACTACACATATTGTAAAGGCCACTACAACTATTGTAAAGGTCACTACAACTATTGTAATGGTCACTACAACTATTGTAAAGGTCACTACACATATTGTAAAGGTCACAACAATTATTGTAAAGGTCATTACACATATTGTAAAGGTCACTACAACTATTGTAAAGGTCACTATAACTATTGTAAAGGTCACTACACATATTGTAAAGGTCACAACAACTACTGTAAAGGTCACTACACATATTGCAAAGGTCACTACACATATTCCAAAGGTCACTACAACTATTTTAAAGGTCGCTACAACTATTGTAAAGGTCACTTCACATATTGTAAAGGTCACTATAACTATTGTATAGGTCACTACAATTATTAAAAAGGTCACTACAACTACAACTATTGTAAAGGTCACTATAACTATTGTATAGGTCACTACAATTATTGTAATGGTCACTACAACTATTGTAAAGGTCACAACAACTATTGTAAAGGTCACTACACATATTGTAAAGGTCACTACACATATTCTAAAGGTCACTACAACTATTTTAAAGGTCACTACAACTATTGTGAAGGTCACTACACATATTGTAAAGGCCACTACAACTATTGTAAAGGTCACTACACATATTGTAAAGGTCACAACAATTATTGTAAAGGTCATTACAATTATTAAAAAGGTCACTACACATATTGTAAAGGTCACAACAACTATTGTAAAGGTTACTACACATATTGCAAAGGTCACAACAACTACTGTAAAGGTCACTAAAACTATTGTAAAGGTCGCTACAACTATTGTAAAGGTCACTTCACATATTGTAAAGGTCACTATAATTATTGTATAGGTCAGTACAATTATTTAAAAGGTCACTACAACTACAACTATTGTAAAGGTCGCTACAACTATTGTAAAGGTCACTTCACATATTGTAAAGGTCACTATAATTATTGTATAGGTCAGTACAATTATTTAAAAGGTCACTACAACTACAACTATTGTAAAGGTCACTATAACTATTGTATAGGTCACTACAATTATTGTAATGGTCACTACAACTATTGTAAAGGTCACAACAACTATTGTAAAGGTCACTACACATATTGTAAAGGTCACTACACATATTCTAAAGGTCACTACAACTATTTTAAAGGTCACTACAACTATTGTGAAGGTCACTACACATATTGTAAAGGCCACTACAACTATTGTAAAGGTCAATACACATATTGTAAAGGTCACTACACATATTGTAAAGATCACTACAACTATTGTAAAGGTCGCTATAACTATTGTATAGGTCACTACACATATTTTAATGGTCACTACAACTATTGTAAAGGTCACAACAACTATTGTAAAAGTCACTACACATATTGTAAAGGTCACTACACATATTGTAAAGGTCACTACACATATTGTAAAGGTCACTTCACCTAATGCAAAGGTCACTACACATATTGTAAATGTCATAACAACTATTGTAAAGGTCACTACACATATTGTAAAGGTCACTATAACTATTGTAAAGGTCACTACACATATTGTAAAGGTCACTACACATATTGTAACGGTCACTACAATTATTATAAAGGTCACTACAACTATTGTGAAGGTCACTACAACTATTGTAAAGGTCACTACACATATTGTAAAGGTCATTTCAACTATTGTAAAGTTCACTACAACTATTGTAAAGGTCACTATAACTATTGTATAGGTCACACTTATTGTAAAGGCCACTAGAACTATTGTAAAGGTCACAACAACTATTGTAAAAGTCACTACACATATTGTAAAGGTCACTTCACCTAATGCAAAGGTCACTACACATATTGTAAATGTCATAACAACTATTGTAAAGGTCACTACACATATTGTAAAGGTCACTATAACTATTGTAAAGGTCACTACACATATTGTAAAGGTCACTAAACATATTGTAACGGTCACTACACATATTGTAAAGGTCACTACAATTATTATAAAGGTCACTACAACTATTGTAAAGGTCACTACAACTATTGTAAAGGTCACTACACATATTGTAAAGGTCACTTCAATTATTAAAAAGGTCACTACACATATTGTCAAGGTCACTACACATATTGTAAAGGTCACACCTGTTGTTTATAACAAAGCAAGATAAATACATTTTTATTATTTACATCAAAATACATTCACGCTTTCTTTGAGTTTGTTTTAAGTTTTTTCACTGTTATTTCTGTAAAACTTTATTTTCACTTATATTGGTGCTCTGTTACTTGTATTAAGATACAGGAATTTGTTTTCTTACAGTCTACCGATCGAGAAATTCTTCAACTTGACCCGTCGTTTGCGGAAGTTGAGTGATTCAGGAGACAGTTTCTGTCAAAGATTAAACATATATGTTGCTGCTGTTCTTTTCATATCGTCTTTCCTCTCGTATGGTCTCGACGTCTTCCTCGCTAAGGACAATGAAGGAGTGTCCGTCTTCTGTTACTGTCCGGCAGAGTTTTCAAAGTCACGTGTCCATTACACAAACTACGCATGCTTTGTACAAGGGTTTTATTCTGTGGCGTTTGATGAATCCTTACAAAGCCAACCCAGTTTTGATAGTAGAGATGAAAATGAGGACGACGAAAAATTTCTGAAATATTATCCCTGGGTAACATATATTCTAATTCTTCAGGCTGTTTTATTTTGTATACCCCGGTTTCTATGGAGACTAGGAGCCAACAGAGAGGGATTTCATCACAACTGCTGCCTTGATATCATGGATACATATGTATTTGGAAAGAAAGATGATGAAACTGAACCAAAGATGAAAGAGGAAGTTATCAAAAATATCGAAAACTATTTTATTCGTTTAATAGACTTACGGAATTCTGACATGTGTTTTCCGGAGATAGTCTTTCCTTTCCTGACCGGGTATCGCTACACAATCTGGTTGGTGATTACAGACGTGTTCATGGTAGTGAATTCTATTTCTCAATTTTATCTTGTGGAATTCCTGCTTGGAATTGATTTTATAAAATTTGGTTCTGATTACTTTTCAAACATGCCAGATTTAATGTGGGAAGACCACAGGCGATTCCCTAGATCAGCTTTCTGCGATCTGAACATTCGTCAGCAGGCTAACCAACAAGTATATACAATTCAATGTGCTCTACCGTCTAATATGATCAACGAGAAACTATTTCTGCTGATCTGGGTAACTCTATTTTGTGTGTCCATTTTGAATATATTTTCATTCTTTTATCATGTGATTACTTTACAACGTATAAGTTTTAAAACAATCGAGAAAATAAACTCTTATCAACTAAGCAAATACTTCAATACAGAGAAGTTAAGAAGCAATTTAATTGTCCGTAGTTTCGTGCACGAGTATTTGAAGTTAGACGTGTTATTGTATCTCTGGCAGTTAAACCGCAAGCCTGTTGTTGATGACGTCATACACCGACTCTGGGACAGGTACTCACGTAAACAATCTGAAGACGAAGAGCAAGAAGGAATCGAAAGTAATCTTACAGAAAGACACTGATGAACGTGCGCTGCACGTTTTAAATTAACGTTAAACAAACCCCACTCTTCTGAAAACAACATTTCTTAACTTTACACAAACCTTTCGACTGACTCACTTTAATCGAAAACTCACTTATTTCGAAGTTTTTTTCCCCCAGGATCCGTCGAGTTCGAGATAACGAGGTTCGACTGTATGTAGCAATCATCAGCGCTTGTATTCTGTATGAGAGATATACATTTAACTGTGTAAAATCTATAATCAAGTTCTAGTTCTCATTTGAGAACGTGAAAGTACTTTCTTGGATTGACCAAGATTCATAAGGCGGGTTTTGTCAATGAAGCAGAAGACGCTTATTCTTCCGGATCACTTTGTATCATTCTCCTTGTGCAATCCTTTTCAAATAGTTTGCCTTGGCGCTATGAATTTTGAATACATCATTTTCTGTGTTTGTCGAATACACGATGTATGTATAATCACACATACTTAAATATAAATGGTCCGAGATATAATGGAACAAATCGAATACGCTGCAATATATCTCTAACGCTTTAACAAAAATAAAACAAATGTTTCACAATAATCGTCGCTTTAACGGTATATAAAATCATCACTAATCATATCATATATACTGTATCAAATGGAAATCTACATATTCGTCAAAATTGAAAATCAACTCAACATTTATCAGTACTGTAAGAAACAAAACGAATCACGCTATTTTGTAAATAAAGTGTTTCTACACACATGATTATATGAAAACTTGGATATAACATTGCGACAATATACACTTTCATGAACCTGTAGCAAGTCATTTCGGAACAAACAGCTACTATCAGTGATGTCAACAAAACTACACTTTGAAGTAAACTATTTGAAAACTAGAAAATTGTTATTGTGATATCAAGACTAACAGAACTTTAAGTTATGTACGGGCCGTGTTATCAGGATTTAGTCCGATCTGTCAACATGGCCCTGACCCAGTGGAAGGTTCACCTCGTGATATTCTTTCTATCCTCTGTACTCACTCCGTTAAGTACAAATGCCACCTATGACAGAGAAAACGATACATGCAGACTGATTCCAGAAAACCATATACGCGATGCATTAACAGTTTGGAAATTTCTGCGAGTAAACGATAAATTACAAAAGGTAAGATCATTTTTCGCCACAGAGGTAAACAAATATCTTCGGTAATGTCCGTAAATATTTCCGTAAACACTCGGAAACAATGACGTTTAATTTTGCCCTGTCTCGCCTTGAAAATACTCTCGCTTTTTTATACTCGTGAATATAGTATAGAGAGCCGATGTATTTGTGTACATATGTTCATACAAGTAACCATAAATGTATCTTCATAGAACCAGGGTTGTGTCCACTTTTTTATGAGAAATTATTAAAATTTTTAAAATCATTCCATCATACAAAGTGACAACGATTTACTAAATCATAAAATTTGTTTTTATTTGTGATTTCCGTTAGTCGTACTTTTCTGTTTCAAAAGGCCCCAGTATCTCTTACAGACCTACGATTCACTTTAACGATTTTCACACTGAAAGTATTGCGCTAAAATATGACAACACTAATTGTTACTTCTGTGTATGGTTTAAATATAGCAATTATTATTGAACGCGCGAATTTATCATCGGGTTGACATAAACAAAACATACCGACGATTAGCGGAGCCATATTTCAGCGCATACTTTCAGCAAAAATTGCGCTCTAAAATAACATCACCACTAAAACATAAACGTTAATATTAACCTGTGTACCTTTCCAGAGTGATCTGATACTTGGCCTCGGAAGTCACGATAAAAGAGTTGCTATGGAGGCGTCTCGTCTCTGGTTAAACGGATACGGAGACTTTCTGATGTTTTCTGGCAAATCCGGAAATTTAACAAGAGGTATGGATTAAAATGATATAGTATAGAACAAAGTATTAACTACTTACATTTCATTTATTGCAAACTGTACAAAAAGGTACAGCATTTAGTTATAATTCACTTATGGGGAATGTTTGTTTAGAATTGAAAGTCCCGTATCATCCATGTCATGAAATACAGAGAGAGAGAGAGAGGAGGGGGAGGGGGGAGGGGGTCAGACAGAGACAGACAGAGAGAGGGTGGGGCAGACAGAGACAGAGAGACGGGGCAGACAGAGACAGAGAGAGAGAGAGAGAGAGAGAGACAGAGAGAGACAGAGAGAGAGACAGAGAGAGAGGGGGGCCAGACAGAGACAGACAGAGAGACAGAGAGAGAGGGGGCAGACAGAGACAGACAGAGAGACAGAGCCAATATTCATAAAAGATATAATATCTGAGGTGGGGGAGGGCGTTGGGGGGTTGGGTGGGGGAGGGGTAAAGACGATCCGACGCCTTAACTACTCGTCCAACGCGACACATGCTAGCAATATGTAAAATGAAATGTTAAGAACATTTAAATAATGACAGTTGTATAGATTGAGATTATTGTGGTGACTTTCAGTTTTGGTTCTCTTCCATCAATATGTATGTGTAATTTGGAGTTTGTTTATTTTACACCCAGCCATTTTGTGACCCTATAGTGCTACTCTTGTCCTTCATTCCGTCATAATATCATTTCCGAAGAAATATGATATGGTATGCACAGGGACTTGGTACGAATTCCCAACCCACGGTCCACATATATTAGTGACACAATACAAGATTTCAAGATTTCAAGATTTTTATCTACTTAATTCTACCGGTAATTTAACATTTGCTGTTCTGAATTTACAGATAAATTCTGCATCTTTTTTAATTCAACCGTAATAAATAGTCTTCAATACCAAATTCATTTTTGAAAATACTATATACTTGTCCTCTGGACGATTTTCCCATTTCGTCAAACCAAGATTGGACAAACTGGTCCTTCAGTCTCTGAGCAACTTCAGATTTTAAAAAACTGATATGTGGTAAACAAGTTTTCTGAAACATCCATACATGACCTAATCCAACACTGTTTAAAATATTTTTGATGCAGTTTTTCCATTTGAATTCTATTTGGCCTGTTTCGTTGAGTGAATACATCAATTTATACATGCAACTTGATAATTTATTCTCATTCAGGATTAGTGAGTACCAATATTTAACCATTCTTAATTTAATATCTATAGTAATAGGGTATCTTCCGATTTCTCCGTAGACCATAAAATTGGTTGTACTTTTCTTCAACCCCAAAATTCTCTTACAAAATTGTAAATGTATCTTTTCAATAAGATAACAGTTCTCATATCCCCATATTTCTCTTGAATATAATAAAATCGGGGATACCAATGCATCAAATAATTTCAATTTCAAATCAAGCGGTAAATCAATATTTCTTATTTTTCGGTATACTACAAACAGGGCTTTTCGAGCTTGCTCAGACAAGTGTTTTTTTGCCGCGGCAAAACTACCATTGTAATTAAAAAGAACTCCTAGGTAGGGGAACGAGCTTTGTATATCAAGTTCGTTATTGTAAAGTAAAAAACTATTTCTAGTTTTATTCTTTCTTTTAGAAAAAATGAAAGTTTTAGTTTTCTGGGTGTTCACTCCTAATTTCCAATTTTAGCAGTACTGTTGGAAATGATTTAACATACATGGACCGCGGGATTCGTGCCAAGTCCCTGTGTATTGTTGGAAATGATTTAACATACATGGACCGCGGGATTCGTGCCAAGTCCCTGTGTACTGTTGGAAATGATTTAACATACATGGACCGCGGGATTCGTGCCAAGTCCCTGTGTACTGTTGGAAATGATTTAACATACATGGACCGCGGGATTCGTGCCAAGTCCCTGTGTACTGTTGGAAATGATTTAACATACATGGACCGCGGGATTCGTGCCAAGTCCCTGTGTACTGTTGGAAATGATTTAACATACATGGACCGCGGGATTCGTGCCAAGTCCCTGTGTACTGTTGGAAATGATTTAACATACATGGACCGCGGGATTCGTGCCAAGTCCCTGTGTACTGTTGGAAATGATTTAACATACATGGACCGCGGGATTCGTGCCAAGTCCCTGTGTATTTGGACCGCGGGATTCGTGCCAAGTCCCTGTGTATTGTTGGAAATGATTTAACATACATGGACCGCGGGATTCGTGCCAAGTCCCTGTGTATTGTTGGAAATGATTTAACATACATGGACCGCGGGATTCGTGCCAAGTCCCTGTGTATTGTTGGAAATGATTTAACATACATGGACCGCGGGATTCGTGCCAAGTCCCTGTGTATTTGGACCGCGGGATTCGTGCCAAGTCCCTGTGTATTTGGACCGCGGGATTCGTGCCAAGTCCCTGTGTATTTGGACCGCGGGATTCGTGCCAAGTCCCTGTGTATTGTTGCATAGTAATATTCTGATTTGGTTTTGGTCAATTATTTTTTTCCAAACTTCAAAAGTTTTCACAAAATAGGTAGGACTAGTATTCGAGAGTCTTGCCTAACTCCAGTGAAAACAATAAAGACAATCTTCAGGCAGATTCTTTATCGGCGATTCCAGATCCTTTCTCTGGGTGCAGGACTTTTGGTCTTATTTCAAGCCAATAATATAAGTTAAAAATTTAGTCTTCTCCACGGTTACCGACGGGAGCATGAATGTCGCTCCAACACATCAAATTTCTGTATGTATGTTTTATTCTTCTTTTTTTTAAAAAATATAATTATTATTTCCATTTTTTGGTTCACAGGATGGCGTAAAAGTGAAGCCGAGATATTTCGTGATGTGGCGGTTTCCCTGGGAGTACCAGAAAACAAAATACTTACTGAAGAAAATTCTCAAAATACCGGCGAAAATTTTAAATACAGTTACAAACTGTTGAAGCGAAATGATAAGATACCTAAAACGTTAATCATTGTCCAGAAACCCCACATGGGGCTTAGAACAGTAGCGACTTTTAAAAAACAGTGGCCGGGTAACCAAGCGGAAGTGGCATTGATGGTGACGTCACCAAATATTTCCTTGCTAGACTACCCTAATGATGACGTAGGCGACTTAGAAGATGTTATATCTGTGTTGATTGGCTACCTACAACGTATCAAAGTGTACGGAGAGACCGGTTTCCAGAGTTATCATTACTTACCCAGAATTGTATGGGATGCTTTCGTCCGACTCAAGTCGTCCACACTTTACTCGTCACATCTACTTAAAGACACGTGTGACCGTTAAAGACTAGATTTCGGTTCTAGAGAAGTAGATTTTTAGTATCCTGTGACACATTGAGTTAAAATCTTTGTGTCCTTATAATATTTTGTATGCATGATGTTCATGAAACCTTGAATATCAAACTAACATTTTAAGTAGATGTTAAAAAGAAAGGGAAGATAACTTTAACGTATGTTGTCATTGTTAAGTTGAAGGAAAATATCAAGGTAAGTGGTTTATGTAGAAGGTCTGTTGTATCCATTGTTCTCAGTGTCAGCTGGTCTATATATATATATAGGGTTTTATATCTCCTATAAAAAAGATACTTCAGTTCCAGACATGATGCCGCTCCCCTTTTGAGTGAGCTACAGGTAGGGCGTGAGAACAGAACTAATAGCCCTGTTTTTTAACATTCGTAAGAGGTGACTTTATCCAAAGTTTTTTTTTCTTTCTAAACAACTGTTTCTCACTTACCCTCGTCCATGATACTACACATTTCACCTCTTGTTTAACGCTCGCTCCTGTGAGGAAACCCTTGGGTATATATCATGACCGAGACATGTTTTTGTCACATTATACAGATTACGGACAAACCGGTCGTTACTCTACCATATCACTGATATCTTTTGCAGGCAGTCGTCAATATCATTTTAAAGACTCTTGTATGTACAACTATTTATATACTGTAAACCAAAATGAAGAAATGATTAGTCTAGAACTCGAAACAATGAACTTACAGAGGGTGGAAATTGCTAATTCCCTACGTTGCCTACCTTGTCATAATGTGTATACAGCAAGTCTGATGTATCCAGCTAGTCATAATGTGTATACAGCAAGTCTGTCTACAGCAAGTCTGATGTATCCAGCTAATCTAAATGTGTCTACAGCAAGTCTGATGTATCCAGCTAGTCATAATGTGTATACAGCAAGTCTGATGTATCCAGCTAATCTAAATGTGTCTACAGCAAGTCTGATGTATCCAGCTAGTCATAATGTGTATACAGCAAGTCTGATGTATCCAGCTAGTCTAAATGTGTATACAGCAAGTCTGATGTATCCAGCTAGTCTAAATGTGTATACAGAAAGTCTGATGTATCCAGCTAGTCATAATGTGTATACAGCAAGTCTGATGTATCCAGCTAGTCTAAATGTGTATACAGCAAGTCTGATGTATCCAGCTAGTCTAAATGTGTATACAGCAAGTCTGATGTATCCAGCTAGTCACAAGGAGTCTACAGCAAGTCTGATGTATCCAGCTAGTCTAAATGTGTATACAGAAAGTCTGATGTATCCAGCTAGTCTTAATGTGTATACAGCAAGTCTGATGTATCCAGCTAATCTAAATGTGTCTACAGCAAGTCTGATGTATCCAGCTAATCTAAATGTGTCTACAGCAAGTCTGATGTATCCAGCTAGTCAGCTAGTCCTAATGTGTATACAGCAAGTCTGATGTATCCAGCTAATCTAAATGTGTCTATAGCAAGTCTGATGTATCCAGCTAGTCATAATGTGTATACAGCAAGTCTGATGTATCCAGCTAATCTAAATGTGTCTATAGCAAGTCTGATGTATCCAGCTAATCTAAATGTGTATACAGCAAGTCTGATGTATCCAGCTAATCTAAATGTGTATACAGCAAGTCTGATGTATCCAGCTAGTCACAAGGAGTCTACAGCAAGTCTGATGTATCCAGCTAGTCTAAATGTGTTTACAGCAAGTCTGATGTATCCAGCTAGTCATCATGTGTATACAGCAAGTCTGATGTATCCAGCTAATCTAAATGTGTATACAGCAAGTCTGATGTATCCAGCTAATCTAAATGTGTATACAGAAAGTCTGATGTATCCAGCAAGTCTTAATGTGTCTACAGCAAGTCTGATGTATCCAGCTAATCTAAATGTGTCTACAGCAAGTCTGATGTATCCAGCTAATCTAAATGTGTCTACAGCAAGTCTGATGTATCCAGCTAGTCTAAATGTGTATACAGCAAGTCTGATGTATCCAGCTAGTCCTAATGTGTATACAGAAAGTCTGATGTATCCAGCTAGTCTTAATGTGTTTACAGCAAGTCTGATGTATCCAGCAAGTCTTAATGTGTCTACAGCAAGTCTGATGTATCCAGCTAGTCTAAATCTGTCTACAGAAAGTCTGATGTATCCAGCTAGTCTAAATGTGTATACAGAAAGTCTGATGTATCCAGCTAGTCACAAGGAGTCTACAGCAAGTCTGATGTATCCAGCTAGTCTAAATGTGTATACAGCAAGTCTGATGTATCCAGCAAGTCTAAATGTGTATACAGAAAGTCTGATGTATCCATCTAGTCACAAGGAGTGTATCCAGCTAGTCACAATGTGTATACAGCAAGTCTGATGTATCCAGCTAGTCTAAATGTGTATACAGCAAGTCTGATGTATCCAGCTAGTCACAATGTATACAGCTATTCATAATTTGTATACAGCAAGTCTTAATGTATCAAGATAGTCTTAATGTGTCACTTTACAGTGTAGTTAATTACACAGTATGTCGTTGTACAGTGTGTCTATTTTACACACAAGTAAAGCTACTGCTGGTTTATATACAGCAAACATTCATTCCACAAGTGAAATTTCACTTATTCCTTGTTTTCAGTCCAGGATTTACTACTTGCAGTCATGTTAACAGTTATCTCCCTTGAATTTCATGTCAAAGCATTTAATCATGTGTAAGTTTTCATTGTAAATCCATTACTTCAGGTACCACTAGTTAAATTAAGAATCGAAATAAATGAAAGCTTTCGTCAAAATTTGAAGAATATGAAATTTGAAGAGACATTCCTCACTGTGAGAATCAATCATGATTTCAAATTCGGTAGCTAAACTGATATATAGTAGAACCAAATTCGACCTTGACATTTAACAAGGATTTAGGGTTATAAGATCCCATATAATATTTTTCTAACACACAGTTAAGCACACCTGTCTGTTTTAGTCTGGCAAACACAACCTCTTCGAGAACATCTTTTACCATTTGTAGACACCTTAAGTTGTAGGTCTAATTTTAAATAGGAATTACAACAAATAGTATTTCACTGATAATTAAGCACTTTTATTTTGTAACTGAAACACAATTTTTAAAAATGTACCAAAGAGTCATTCATCATCAGCACATCTTTAAACAAACGGTAGATAACTCTTCCAACTTTCCGTCCCACAACTTTGAATGGTTCATCAAGGAGCTTCACATTTGACAAAATTACTGGTACACATATGATGGAACAACATTTGACATCATTGTGATAAAGATAACATCAGTTTGAGGATGTGATATTTAACCAAACTGAATAGAAACAAACTTGGCATAAAAATGTAAAATATGAGATCAGATAAAATTGTATCACAACAAATGAATGTAAATAAATTGGAGTATAAAAATCCTTCAGTTTAATATAAACACAATGCTGCCATCTCTTCAAACTCATATTTAAAACTCTACCAATACAAAAAAAGGCATTTTAATACACTAGAATATTTGTAAGTTTAAAACTTCTCAATCTATAAAATAAGAAATGTTGAAAATATCTTTTAAAAAAAGAAGAAAAAAAATGTGATGAAATGAAAATCTTCATTTAGAAAAAATATTCAAAATAAGGTCATTAAAAATTTTATTAAGGTTTAATCACCAAATATCTAATTGATTCATCACTAGGACAGAAAGAAAACTTAAATATTTTTTAACAATGATTAGTTTGCAATGAAATTGAAATTGAACCTTAAAGATATTTCTATGTTAATATGCTATAAACTGTGTAATCAGTTATCATAGTTACCAATATTTCTTTTTCAAAATATCTAAGCTTTCAAAGTGTCATTCTGCTTAAATTTTTAGATCAGAGAATCCATATGTTTTTATTTCATATTTACCAAAAAAATAAAACCATACTTTGATTGTACTTTAGTAACGAAGAAATAAATGATTGCAATAATAACCACCTGTAAAGACAGATTGATCAGTTTGTTTAATGATAGTGATCAAGTATTCAAAAATGAAGATGTTAATTGTTTTATGGTAAACAGAAAAACACATGAAAACAATATGTGAAAGTCAATTTGTTTGATGTTGGAGTGATTTGAAAAGATTGCTTTTATTCAAGAAAATATAATCATACATTTTCAGCCATCGTAATATCACAATACTTCACGAGTTACCTCCCCTTACTAATGGGGAAACGGTAACTGATATTCACTATATATAACTAGATCGTCTTGAACTCAAAGGAGACACAAATTCTCCTCATTTATCTCGCTTTGAAATAAAAATCACGCGACAACAAAAAAAGTAATTTAGTAAATAAAACATTTTTAAAAAATACAAAATATTTGATTTTGTAAATCACGCACAGTTGAATTTTGAAGATAGATATAACGAGACTTGCGTTAAATAATTAATTACGCGTTGCAATGGGTTTTCCTTTACAAAATATGACTGTTGTGTTATTTTAAAAGGTTTTATGTCCACTGACGAGAACTGATGAGTAAGTTCGACGGTATTTCTGTTAAACCGCTGGATGTTCAGCGGTACGGGAATGCCTGTGATTTCGGACCAATGAAAAAGGGCGTGACAAAATAGTTCGGTTAGTTTATTTGTGTCACGTGATCCAGGTGCTCTCTCATCGCGTCCTGGAAAGCCCTAACGAGGAATTACAGGTGAGGTAAATATTGTTAAAATATCAAATGTTACAAGTTGAGAGCGAATGTGTCGTGTCATCGAGAGCTGGCAGATATATAAGCATTTTGCGTTAAACCAGTTGATCGTCCCTCTGACGTTCAAGCCAGAAAACACTAAAATTTGTCAGTCGACTCAGGTGTGAGAAAACATGGCCGACCCCAATACGGAAGCGAATACTACAGCAAGTTTGGCAGTGAATTGTGAAAGAACGCTCTTCCAGTTTCAACAGATTGCACGAATTTGTGTTTCTTTTGTAACTTATGTATACAACCTACATGGTGGGTCAATATGTTCCGGTTATGTAAGGTTCACGCCAGGGATTTGCCGAAACTGCATTACCCCTTTGGTACCCCACTGTGTACACATGTAAAACAAACACTACCCCACGGGTACCTCAGACGTGTAATTATTGACATTGCGATACCCCTCCGGTCAATGTTAATTATGACTTACTCATATCATACAAATGTACAATCTAGTTTCTCCACGCTCTGGTGTCCGACCAATGAATGTGTGCATTTTGTAAAATTCAGCAAATAAATAATGTATATCAATGTTTGTGATAAAAAAGTTGAAATCTGGTTCTGACTCAGCTCCATGATCAATAAGACTCAGATCCATACTCCGTAAAACTCTTTGGAATTATTCTGGTGTTTGACCAAACACAACCAAAAATATCCATTTTGGAATAGATAAAGAAAAGATGGTTTATGTTGTTCTAGGTTGTTAAGGACGAAAACCCACTCAGTGCAGAATGATTGGGAGGACTATCATGTCTTAATGTGAAAGGCTTTATGTATACAAATAGGTAGTTGATAAAGCTTGGCGGACTACCTGAAAAAAATACCCAGTTATATAGCCAAAATGCAAGATCATGGCCAATACTTTTTGACAGATCTATCAAAACGACATCAAGAAGTGATGACAACCATGAATCAGAAAGTATCTGCAGAAAATATCTTTAAAAAATACTACTTAAAGTTAGCAACCTCAAAACATATGTCAAATCTCCATGTGACTCTAATACACGTATGCACCACATCTCACTTTAATGTTTGAAAAAAAATGGTTGAGTTAGGGAGAGTTGAACTTCCTACAATCATCAGCGGTACACATATACTTGTGTGTCATCCTTGCAAGTAGCTGATTTGTTTCTTGAATATCTAATAAAGCTGGTAACATTTAAAGATATGTTGTTGATATGATTATAATGTATGAAGTTTCAGTTTCATATATGAAAAAAAGACTAAGGTATGACTATTTTACTCTAGAAAGATCAACAGCATGCATGCTTTATACAAACAACATGGATGGCTTAGGCTGTAACTTTGAAAATACTCAATAAAGTTAGCAACATCAGAAAATATTTTATAAATACGACGATAACACCTATGTACCAAGTTTCATGTTGATATTAAAAAAAATTTATTAAGTTCAGAGTTGAATTTCCCTAAATTTTTAGCAATACAAGTAAGTTTTGTGTATCACACTCGCAAGCAAAATCTTCAAACTATACCATGGTTAGGTTTAGTAATGTAAAGACTAGAGAGTTTATATATCAGCTTTAAAAACAGCATTTCATTGGTGTAAATAACATTTCAAATCAAGTTTTATTTGTATCATTTTCTCTTTTTTGTGTTTTCAGACAACAACATAAACATCACAGTAAATATCAGTGTACCTTTGTATATACCTACACAGTTTAATTAGATGTTTTCAGACAACAACATAAACATCACAGTAAATATCAGTGTACCTTTGTATATACCTACACAGTTTAATTAGATGTTTTCAGACAACAACATAAACATCACAGTAAATATCAGTGTACCTTTGTATATACCTACGCAGTTTAATTAGATGTTTTCAGACAACAACATAAACATCACAGTAAATATCAGTGTCCCTTTGTATATACCTACGCAGTTTAATTAGATGTTTTCAGACAACAACATAAACATCACAGTAAATATCAGTGTCCCTTTGTATATACCTACGCAGTTTAATTAGATGTTTTCAGACAACAACATAAACATCACAGTAAATATCAGTGTCCCTTTGTATATACCTACGCAGTTTAATTAGATGTTTTCAGACAACAACATAAACATCACAGTAAATATCAGTGTACCTTTGTATATACCTACACAGTTTAATTAGATGTTTTCAGACAACAACATAAACATCACAGTAAATATCAGTGTACCTTTGTATATACCTACGCAGTTTAATTAGATGTTTTCAGACAACAACATAAACATCACAGTAAATATCAGTGTCCCTTTGTATATACCTACGCAGTTTAATTAGATGTTTTCAGACAACAACATAAACATCACAGTAAATATCAGTGTCCCTTTGTATATGCCTACGCAGTGTAATTAGATCAATGAAATACACAATGTTTACATATTTTGAGAAAATGATACGTCTCTTATACCTATGAGGTACAATATAAAAATGTTACAAAGTCTGCTGTGTATACATATAACAGAATTCATCCCCCTGACTGTCAGATATTTCAGTATGTACAATAGGCCTTCTGTTTTAAGTTATAATAATGTATATAATTGAGAACAGGTCCTAACACAGGAAAAGTGGTAATAACATTGTGCATTGGAGACAATAGATCAGCTGTTGCTTTACAATTACAAAAGGAAGAACATGTCAGGTTATTTTCACAAACTTATGTGGTTATCTAGCCTGGAAGTGTAATTAATTGTTATTTATCATTAATTATACCTAATGTACATGTAATTAACGTAGATCAGTTAAACATGTGACTAGGATAGCTTATGGATTCTTGTTCATGTACTTTGATTTATCAACAAAGTGATGTTTTCTTTTCTCAGATTCCACCTGCTGAGTGATGCCGGCTGCAACTGATGGGGCGGGCTTAGGTAAGTCCTCAGTTTTGTATACTGTGAAATATCATATCCATATAGTATAGTGTGAAATATCATGTCAGTTTTGTATAGTGTGAAATATCATGTCAGTTTTGTATAGTGTGAAATATCATGTCAGTTTTGTATAGTGTGAAATATCATGTCAGTTTTGTATAGTGTGAAATATCATGTCCGTTTTGTATAGTGTGAAATATCATGTCAGTTTTGTATAGTGTGAAATATCATGTCAGTTTTGTATAGTGTGAAATATCATGTCAGTTTTGTATAGTGTGAAATATCATATCCATATAGTATAGTGTGAAATATCATGTCCGTTTTGTATAGTGTGAAATATCATGTCAGTTTTGTATAGTGTGAAATATCATGTCAGTTTTGTATAGTGTGAAATATCATGTCAGTTTGTGACCTCACCTAATATCCAGGTTGTATTTCATTTGATAACATGAAGAATTATAGAAATAAAAAAATGTGATATTGTGAATTTATTGTTTCATCATTGTACCATTTATATCAGTCAAACACATATTTGATCTGCCATTACATTCATAAATCTGTCCCATGAGATAGTAATTAATCTATATATCTGCTAGATAGTGATAAGTTCACTGCTTTTTATTTTAGTTTAATTTCCTAAGAGTAATGCCCCTTTATGAATTTTTTTACCAAGTTCTCTGTAACATGGTTCACATATATGATTGATACATCAGAAATGAAACAAGCTGTGAACCTATTCTCAATTATTTTTAACCTTCAATTTATTTCAAGGGAGTTGTGTCACTTATATTGATATCAAAAATAAAAGTTTGTGGAGCAGGGTAAGTTCCAATAAAGGTTTTGTTTTACAGTTCTTATGACTTCACATGATTCTCTATTTTACATGACTTTTAATCTGAGATAATTCTTTCTCAAGCCTCGCTACAAACTCTGCAGGACAACCTTGGTGACATTGGAGATAAAGTCGGTGCCGAACAAAATGACTTAGCCTTCCTTCAACAATTTCTTGAGAGTCCTCTACTGGAGTCACTAGTACAGGTAAGTCGGTGTTGTCTTCCTCTAATAGATCCTTGAGAGTCCTCTACCGGAGTCACTAGTACAGGTAAGTCAGTGTAGCCTTCCTCTAACAGATCCTTGAGAGTCCTCTACTGGACTCATTAGTACAGGTAAGCCAGTGTAGCCTTCCTCTAACAGATCCTTGAGAGTCCTCTACTGGACTCATTAGTACAGGTAAGCCAGTGTAGCCTTCCTCTAACAGATCCTTGAGAGTCCTCTACTTGGGTTACCAGTTCAGTTAGTTAAAAACATGATGATGGGTAGCATTTCTTGAAATGCAGGCAGATTTACTAGGAACTCCTCAGGATGGAAACTACCTCATTTGACACACCATGAAATGTTTTGAAAGAGTGCATTTATTACAGGCCCAAGAACGCCTGGAACAAGACCCTGTGGACGAGCCGAGTGACGAATCAGGCAGTAGGATGGTGGCTGACTGTATCAATGAGATTGCCAGTTTAGGAACTGATTCTGAAGCTGAAGAGCTGGAGAAAATTCTCTCATCACCGCATTTTATAGTAAGTCTCACCCCATTGTGGAATAAAACACATTCAACCTGGAAATGGTGTAACACAGGCTTATTATCAAACAAAGATTTCCTTACTTAGTAAGACTAAAGCCAGTTCACTCCATCAGGTATCACACCACTGCATCAGGTATCACACCACTTTGATTAAAAGCACTCAGAAATGTTTAAATGATGACCCATGACCTACTTTTTTAGAACATTTCTTGCTGTATTTTAGGCCATGATGGCTGCGTATGACGATGTTGCAGACAAGAATTATGAAGAGGAAGTTAACGACGTCACACAGTTGAGTGCTCCTCCACCTCCCATGGTTTTCAACAACGTGGCTGACCAAGTCCGCCTCGTTGGGATTCGTAAGGACAAAAATGCTCCCTTGGTAAGTTAAGTCTCTGGTGACTGAAGACTGGACATTGCTATAAGGGACAGGAAACATATTAAGTACAAAATTGGTTTGGTTTGGTCTGACCTACAGAGATTTCATAATGATAAGATTTTCCTGTGGTTTGTACACTTAATGCCCCTGTGTAACATGACCTTATGGAGGTTTTGAATGTTGAGTCAAGATGGCAGAAGTTGTTTCTTCAATATGTAAAACACGATGTCTGTAAACCAGGAAACCAACAAGTTTTATATTGTTCTCTTCATAGAAGATAAAACATGACATTTTGTTTTTGAACAAATTAAATGAAACATCTGCTAAAATTAAACAATTTTTTTATAGATCTCAATTAAGATGCACTTAGTACAAATCACTTGAACTTTATTATTAAATAAACTTTTTGAGAGACTTCAGATGTTTGTTTGACCTGTATATGTTTATCTCTAGGTCACAACCAGTTAATTGACTGTTTCTAGCATTGTTGAGAGACATTGTCACTATAATTTACTATAATTTGTTTGTTTGGCCTGAACATGTAGATCTCAAGGCCATACTAATTTAAATTGTGTTGTTGAGAGACATTATATTTGTGTGTTACAGGGAATCACGGTGAAGATTGATGAACACAGTGACCTTGTCATTGCACGAATCATGTCTGGAAGCATGATAGACAAGCAAGGTAAGATATAGCAATATCTCAGAGTGATCTCCCTTGAATCTATCATAACCCACCACACATGTTGGCCTAAAATCCCATAGTATTTTCTGATACAAATAACAGACCATTCAACATCTAATGGTCATGTGACTTCTGAATACATTACATGGTCTGGACTTTTTGGTTTGTCAGAATACCTGACTATTTGTAGTTCTCAAAATGACTTTCTTTTTCAGGTTTACTACATGTAGGAGACATCATAAAAGAAGTGAATGGTCTCCAGGTGTTCTCTCCGGAGCAGCTGATGGAGATTATCCGGTTCACAGAAGGATCCATAACATTAAAAATTGTCCCAACTGTGGTAGATCCACAGATTAAATCACAGGTAACACAAAAATTGTCCCAGTTGTGTTAAACCTAAGAACTGAAGCCACAGGTAACACATGAAATTTACAAGGGTGGTAGACCCACTGATCAGATTTACAGTAACACATGAAATTTACAAGGGTGGTAGACCCACTGATCAGATTTACAGTAACACATGAAATTTACAAGGGTGGTAGACCCACTGATCAGATTTACAGTAACACATGAAATTTACAAGGGTGGTAGACCCACTGATCAGATTTACAGTAACACATGAAATTTACAAGGGTGGTAGACCCACTGATCAGATTTACAGTAACACATGAAATTTACAAGGGTGGTAGACCCACTGATCAGATTTACAGTAACACATGAAATTTACAAGGGTGGTAGACCCACTGATCAGATTTACAGTAACACATGAAATTTACAAGGGTGGTAGACCCACTGATCAGATTTACAGTAACACATGAAATTTACAAGGGTGGTAGACCCACTGATCAGATTTACAGTAACAGATGAAATTTACAAGGGTGGTAGACCCACTGATCAGATTTACAGTAACAGATGAAATTTACAAGGGTGGTAGACCCACTGATCAGATTTACAGTAACAGATGAAATTTACAAGGGTGGTAGACCCACTGATCAGATTTACAGTAACACATGAAATTTACAAGGGTGGTAGACCCACTGATCAGATTTACAGTAACACATGAAATTTACAAGGGTGGTAGACCCACTGATAAGATTAACAGTAACACAATAAAAGTTAAACTTTAATTATTCTGGAATATAAATAATTCTACACTAAATGATGGGTATATCTTAATTCTGAAGGGGTTGATTGTTAAATATTGGGTCAAAGTTACTAAAGTTTATATGTAGGATGGGCAGTGTTCACCTGATACGTATGTCTTTGGTCATTAACATTGTATTGATGCTTTCTGTAGAAATACATGCGTGCACACTTCAACTATGACCCCAAGAAAGACCGACTCATTCCCTGTGCTGATGCTGGCCTCTCATTTAATGATGGTGACGTCTTACAAATCCTCAGTTCAGAAGACCCGAACTGGTGGCAGGTAGGTCAAGGCAATGTTTTTATCAGAAACATTTGTCAGGAACAAGTTCTGTATAGAATTTGATATTTTTTTAACCTTAACTTTTTTAAATATTGACAAAGAATATTTGACTTTTCTATGTCCTTGGCATCTATCGTTATACATTTCTGTGACCTTGACATGGATTGTTTGACCTTGACATGGATTGTTTTACATTTCTGTGACCTTGACATGGATTGTTTTACATTTCTGTGACCTTGACATGGATTGTTTTACATTTCTGTGACCTTGACATGGATTGTTTTACATTTCTGTGACCTTGACATGGATTGTTTTACATTTCTGTGACCTTGACATATATCTTTTGCCCTGTTTACACAGGCGAGGGTTGTGACCAAAGACGAGGATGGACAAACAGGTTTGATTCCCTCACAGTCCCTGGAGGAGAAGAGAAAAGCCTTCGTACAGCCTGACTATGACTATTCAAAATCTAGTTTATGTAAGTATGTGATAGATCAATAACTTCATTATTGGGTTGTTTTGGGGGGTCTTTTTAATAGAAAAATTAGGAATTCATTGTTTCAAAAGCAAGTAATTTCTATATTTTGTGAGATTAACAAGAAATACTTGTGATGTCTCCATCCCACATACATGTGACTGACATGTAGAACAAACACTATGTATTTACACAGACTGAATATTGTCTTGTGTTTTTTTTCCAGTATGTGGTTTAAAAAGACGGAAGAAGAAAAAGATCAAATATGCTACAAAAAATACCACAGGTTGGTGAATCAATAATTACGGGTTCAGTTCTCACTTTATTATGACATTAATGAACATTGTTATATTAACAATCTGACAGACCTTGGTCTAACTTTAGTTATGTTGATGTAAATTTAGGCTGATTTCCTCGTTATTACTGTTCTTTACTTGAAATCAGTATGTTTAGAAATCTCTTGAATTATAATTAGATTTGTGGTTATCTGGATGATCTTCCTTCAAACAATGAATTAAAACGGAAAAAAGATGAAAACAAATTTTTTGTTTAGAAGATAATTCAACTGGAAAAAGCATGAATATAATGGTTACATTTGATTGGTTTGTAGATTTCATGCTTATATATGATTGGTTTGTAGATTTCATGCTTATATATGATTGGTTTGTAGATTTCATGCTTATATATAATTGGTTTGTAGATTTTGACAGATGTGACTTGACGATCTATGAAGAGGTAGCACGGATGCCACCTTTCGAGAGGAAAACACTAGTTATTGTTGGAGCAAATGGTGTAGGGCGTAGGTCACTCAAGGAAAGACTCCTTAAGGATGATCCACGCAGATTTGGAGCGGTAATGCCACGTAAGTTTACTGTGGAGTGGTAATGCCACGTAAGTTTACTGTGGAGCGGTAATGCCACGTAAGTTTACTGTGGAGCGGTAATGCCACGTAAGTTTACTGTCAAGTGTTGCAATTGGTGTTTAGCTTTAAGTGAGACAATCGGGACATAAACCAGGCTGCAATATGAAAGTTGAAAAATTGAATACATGTTTAGGTTTGACTTAGTTTCTTCTGCACCAGACAAATAATCTCACCATGTAACAGATAAAGTGAGACAAAGTCACAAAACATTACAAATGAAAAAATCATAAACTTACAATGATATGTATGTTGTGGAGTTTTATTTTTAGCCCACCATCTAATAGATGGTGGGTTTTTTCAAATCGCCCTGCGTCCGTGGTCCGTCTGTCCGTCCGTAAACAATTCTTGTTACCGCTATTTCTGGAAAAGTACTGGATGGATCTTTCTCAAATTTCATATGCAGGTTCCCCTTGGTCCCTAGTTTTGCATTGTACCTTTTTTGAACTGATTCGCATTCAAGATGGCCAACAGGTGGCCATCTTGGATTTTGGAAGTAAAAGTTTGTTACCGCTATTTCTGAGAAAGTACTGGATGGATCTTCCTCAAATTTCATATGCAGTTTCCCCTTGGTCCCTAGTTGTGCATTGTACCTTTTTTGGACTGATTCGAATTCAAGATGGCCGACAGTTAGCCATCTTGGATTTTGGAAGTAAAAGTTTGTTTCTGCTATTTCTTGGAAAGTACTGGATGGATCTTTCTCAAATTTCATATGCAGTTTCCCCTTAGTCCCTAGTTGTGCATTGTACCTTTTTTGGACTGATTCGAATTCAAGATGGCAGACAGGTGGCCATCTTGGATTTTGAATGTAAAAGTTTGTTACTGCTATTTCTTGGAAAGTACTGGATGGATCTCTCTCAAATTTCATATGCAGGTTCCCTTTGGTTCCAAGTTGTGCATTATACCTTTTTGGACTGATCCGAAATCAAGATGGCTGACAGGCAGCCATCTTGGATTTTGAGAGTAAAATCTTGTTACTGCTATATCTGAGGAAGTCCTGGATGGATCCTTCTGATATTTCATAGATATTGGTTTCCCTTGGTCCCTAGTTGTGCATTGTACCTTTTTTTGACTGATTTGAAATCAAGGTGGCCCACAGGCAGCCATCTTGGATGTCGACAGTAAAACAGCACAAGCATATTGTCCATTATCCACCTGTAACTGACTGCTATCTAATAATACTTTGGGATTTTTTTCAAATGATATTTGCTAATAGGTGCTTAATAAAAATATCTTGTGCCATCATTGAGTACATTCAATGAAGACCAGTTCATGAACATTTACAACACCTGTAACAAACAAAAAAAAAATAAACAAATCTTCAAGAACTGAAAACAGATCCTCAAATGGTGGGCCCCAAGATCCCTCTGGGATCTCTTGTTAATTTTCTAAAAGGACTTGAAATAAAAGTCCTGTGAAGTTGATTTTTTTTTGTGATAAATGTTGAATTGAAATGATTGCTAATTAATATCAGTCTATAAAATAATTACAATTAGAAAAATCGTCAAAATAATGACGAGGGATTTCAATATGATGATGATGTACAGAATAATACAGGTGAAGAGGCCTGTTAACTTAGTTGTATTGTAAAATTGACTTGTAATGGGAAATAGAATTAAAATTATTTGTATTATAGATACCTGTCGGGATATGAGAGAAGGTGAGGTGAACGGGAAAGGATATTTCTTCACAGACCGTGAGACGATGGAGGATGATATTAAAGCAGGTCTGTACTTGGAGTACGGGGAATACAACGGCAACTTGTACGGAACAAAGATCGACTCGATCAACCATGTTACTAATGCAGGGAAAATGTGTGTACTTGATGTCAATCCCACGGTAAGTGTTTTCATACATCCCATTACATGGTGTTTGGGACGTCCATGTATCATGGTACATATTTCTATGCTACCGTGTTGTATAAGAGGAATTTTTGTCTTGCCATGGATGAAAAAATCCCAAAAGCAAGACTTCGGAGTTACTTTTCTAGCGATGGTGGTGTTGATGTCACTTTAGGTTGAGGCATTCAGATCTGATGCTGAAAAATGTTTATGTCCAACTTCAACAAAACTTGGTTTATCACTAGATTACATACTGAGCACCTTAACACATAATTAGTGTGATGCTTAGAAGTTTGGCATTCACCTCAGTTTCTCTTATACAGTTATGATAAAAACATATTTGAATGAATCTGAAAAGTGAGAATTTACAAAAACAAAATTCTTCATGTTTTACTGACAATGCATCAATACTGAAACACGAAAACATATCAGTGATGTTTACATAATTACTGTTTATCAAATTTAATAAGGGAATTTTGTGTTAGGGAGGGGGAGACTGGTATATAGTGGAGAGACAGGTGCTTGGGAGGGGGGAGACAGGCGTTTGGGAGTGAGGGAGACAGGTGTTTGGGAATGAGAAGACGGGTGTTCAGTGGAGAGACAGGTGTTTGGGAGGGGACAGACAGGTGTTTTGGAATGGGGAGACAGGTGTTTAGGGGAGAGACAGGTGTTTGGGAGGGGGAAACAGGTGTTTATGAGTAGGGGAGACAGGTCTTTGGGAAGAGGAAGACAGGTGTTTAGTGGGGAGACAGGTGTTTCGGAATGCGGAGACAGGCATTTCAGAGTAGGGGAGACAGTTGCTTTGGAGGAGGGAAGGCAGGTGTTTGGGAGGAGGAAGACAGGTGTTTGGGAGTGGGGGAGACAGGTGTTTGGGAGGAGGAAGACTGTATGATGAGGATGGTTTTTATGTTGTGTTTCAGTCCTTGAAGTATGATGAGGATGTTTTGTTTGTTTTTTATAGTCCCTGAAGATTCTAAAGACAGCTGAGTTCATGCCATTTGTTGTGTTTATCGCGGCACCCAGTGCGGAAGCTCTGAAGCGCATGTATGATTATGGGCGACAGAAAGGCATTGTCGTAAGAAGAGGGGTAAGTATAACCTATTGTATCTGGCCATTGTAAGAAAGTCTTTTTCTTATTAAATATAGATATTTCAGATATTACTGTACAATGGAAGCCTAAATAAATGTTTATTTAAAAATATTCTTTGTCAAATTCTTTAGATTTGTAATGTCCTTATTCTAAAAAAGATGTAGATAGTTGACAAATTAATTTACATCAGATTTTTAGAGAAACTCTAAATTTTTATTCAAAAAATCTGATTTGATATGTGTCATTGTTAAGAGCTTCAATGAAAACATTACCAGTAAGCTTGATATCAATTCTTAGAAAAGCAACAGATGTATGTTGTCTATTGAAACTTGATCCTAAGTGAAGACAATTGATGTATAGATTTAAGACTTTATCGAAAATATCTTTTGATTTGAGTATTTATAAAGATACGTTAGAGAAGCATAGCTAATGATATGTATACAAGCTTCTGATGGGACTAAATATAGAATTGAAATGAAGGTGATGCCCTTGAAATGATATCATAAAACATACATAACACTGATGATTTTTTTAAGATATGTTTACTAAATGTACTTAATCAAGATTTTACTTCTTTTTTATCAGAAATCAGGTCCTGGGAAAGTTGATTTAAAAACTGTAAGTTTGACTTTTTACAGTAACATAACTAGAATTAAAAAAAACTATATACATGTATATAATGTTCATTTCCAAAAGTGATAAATTTTCAGATGCTCATAACTATAGGATACAGTTTTAGTAAATGGAATTTTTATGATAAAAAATTCTTCTTTTTTTACAAAAGCTTCTGTTATATATTTATTTGATTCCTCAATCTACTGTTTGATACTCTCACTTATTAAAGACTTGTGTCATCTGATTAATCTTCATTCACAGATTTCTTGGAGCTATCTATATTTGATATCCACTATAACTTGTCAACATTTTGATGGCGTCAGTTGATAAACTCTTAATATTTAATAACGATTGTAACACATGACCTCTGTCTTACAGGACGATGATTATCGTAAGGCCGTGGAAGAGAGCGCCCAAATTGAACGCGTTTATAAAGGCTTGTTTGATATGACCATTGTCAACGACAGTTTTGAGGATGCATATAAACAACTTCGAATGGCACTCAATGACCTTGGCACGGAATCACAGTGGGTCCCTATTAACTGGGTTTACTGAGATGTCACAAGTGTCAAAGGTCACCAAGGTCAACACAGGGTCAGGGAAAAGCCAACAGACAGTTGAAGGTGAACATTTATTTTTTGGATTGGAGCTCAGCAGCAGAAAGACAACAATTGTTTTTAGACTTTCAAAAGTTCTCCACCACTTTGCAAATGTTACCAGAAGATTTGTCCTGACCTTGACCTTCACAAGATCACTACACCATACAAGCCAATCACCACATGTTTGCCTTAATCACTTCAGACAGAATGTTTGTAGCTCGACCATAATTGGTCGGGGCCTAAAATGACACTGCATTCTGTCAAACTGTGTTTCTATGAAATATGCATTTAAACAATTTATTTTTATTTCATCAGTGTTTTAAGGTTTGCCTTCTGTTAGATTCTGATTCGTTAGTGTTTCAAATTTGAAACAAAAAAAATTTTAAATGGTATTAAAATGTTGATTAGAAATTCAAAGTTTTTCCATATATGGTTATGATCAGAGTTTTGTAGATCAGAACTTTCAAATGAAGCTAGAAATAATTTGATGACAATAAAACTATGTTTATGTTGAAGGTACAAAATTAACATTAAATCCTGCTATTGGAGTTCAATGTTGTAACAAAATGTGACGACTCATGCATTCTATTGTGTCAATCATTTGTCTGATACTGTAAGATTTATAGTTGAAATCTTTGATCCTTTTTTTTAATTATGTTAATGTACAATTAAATGATAAATTGATATCAAATTTAATATAAAAATTATTCACTTCGAAAACTAATACCAAAAAATCATGTATTGAAATAATGTTTAAATCACTTTGATTTTTTTAATGTGATTTGGTAAATATGTGTAATAATTATCTGATTAATAAAAAATATTATATTCTTTTAATCAATTAGTTGTTAAAACTTAACCTAGAAATAACGTGTACAAGTACGGAAGTGTAATGAAGGAAGGGAAAACCTAAAATCTAGAAATCGTGATATTATTTATATGTGGGTGAACAGTTTACTTTGTTTTGTCCATATCTTTAAATATATGGGAAGAGAAAAGCGATAATTACTGTAAAGCCGGTTATTTTCACGGGAAGATATTTTTGCTATTTCACAGTTCATTAACTTGACTGAAAAATTCAATCCATGAAATAATGAGGCATGCGTGTATTGAAAATCCTTTTAAATTCAGATCCCAAAATTTTTAACTGCTTGAAATATAATTGGATCATTTTAAAAGTGAATCAGGAAAATTTTGACCCGTGAAATAACCATCTATACAGTATGAAGTTTTAAAAGGATAGGAAGATTAATTGGATGTGTATTACATACGTGTACCCAGGCTTTGGTTTTGTATTCAAATGTAATCACTTCAGGAACTTGTACCATTAATAGAGGCCTACAGTTTTCTAAAGGGAAAAAAACTCCATAGTTTGCCATAGTTGTTGTTGAAAATATCCTTATTCTGTGATGCTGATGTTTGTTCATGACCAGTTTAAGAATTTTCATTTATTTGAGAATTGGTTAATGACCAAAGACATATTTAATTACGGAGTTTATGACCAGCATCAAAGTTCTTTAATTTTTTAGAAAGTTTTTTTTACTTGAGGAGTAAGTAAACATGTGTGTTGTTGAGAGGTCTCAAAAACAGTCTGATGATGTCCTACTCTTTGATGAGAGAAAATTCAGATATTGTTAAACAATATCATCCTGTACAAAAATTTTTCTTGTATAACAGCTTAAAGGCAAGTGCTGATGTTCTCCATTTGGTTGGCCTAATTTTTATATTGTTGGCATTGTTGTATTGACCTACTTCCTCATTTCATTGACCCAATTTCAGCCTTATGACCTAATTTCATTCCATCTATGTTATGTTTTCCTGTTGACATTATGTTACCTTGTTTTCTGTTGAGATTCTAAATTTTTGATGTGTATGTTATAAAGTTTGGGTGATATGTATAGAGAAAAACATCCCCAGTTCATTTACACAGTTATGTATGGGAAAGAGCTCATCAAAGAATAATATTTTGGAGGAAAGATTTTTGATTGCATTTGAAAAAAATATATGCAGTTGTGTCATCTTATTTAATAAAAAAATCACTTGCAGTTTTAAACTGAAATTATTTCCTTCTGTTTTCTCCTCAGTTTTGATCGGCAGCTATGCATTAAAATGTTTTAATTAACATCTCTGACAACAAGAGGGAAGTGTTACTGACAACAAGAGGAGGTGTCACTGATGACAAGAGGAGGTGTCACTGATGACAACAGGAAGTGTTACTGATGACAAGAGGAGGTGTTACTGACGACAGGAGGAGGTGTCACTGATGACAAGAGGTGTTACTGATGACAAGAGGTGTTACTGATGACAAGAGTTGGTGTTACTGACAACAACAGGAAGTGTTACTGACAACAAGAGGAGGTGTTTCTGACAACAAGAGGAGGTGTTACTGACGACAAGAGGAGGTGTTACTGACAACAAGAGGAAGTGTTACTGACGACAAGAGGAGGTGTTACTGACAACAAGAGGAGGTGTTACTGACAACAAGAGGAAGTGTTAGAGGAGGTGTTACTGATGACAGGAGGAGGTGTTACTGACGACAAGAGGAGGTGTTACTGACGACAAGAGGAGGTGTTACTGATGACAGGAGGAGGTGTTACTGACGACAAGAGGAGGTGTTACTGACGACAGGAGGAGGTGTTACTGACGACAAGAGGAGGTGTTACTGATGACAAGAGGAGGTGTTACTGATGACAGGAGGAGGTGTTACTGACGACAAGAGGAGGTGTTACTGACAACAAGAGGAGGTGTTACTGATGACAAGAGGAAGTGTTAGAGGAGGTGTTACTGATGACAGGAGGAGGTGTTATTGATGACAAGAGGTGTTACTGATGACAAGAGGAGGTGTTACTGATGACAGGAGGGAGTGTTACTGACGACAAGAGGAGGTGTTACTGACGACAAGAGGTGTTACTGATGACAAGAGGAGGTGTTACTGATGACAAGAGGAGGTGTTACTGATGACAAGAGAAAGTGTTACTGATGACAGGAGGAGGTGTTACTGATGACGAGAGGTGTTACTGATGACAAGAGGAGGTGTTACTGATGACAGGAGGGAGTGTTACTGACGACAAGAGGAGGTGTTACTGACGACAGGAGGAAGTGTTACTGATGACAAGAGGTGTTACTGACGACAAGAGGTGTTACTGATGACAAGAGGAAGTGTTACTGATGACAAGAGGAGGTGTTACTGATGACAGGAGGAGGTGTTACTGATGACAAGAGGTGTTACTGATGACAGGAGGAGGTGTTACTGATGACAAGAGGAGGTGTTACTGATGACAGGAGGAGGTGTTACTGATGACATGAGGAAGTGTTACTGATGACAAGAGGAGGTGTTACTGATGACAAGAGGTGTTACTGATGACATGAGGAAGTGTTACTGATGACAGGAAGAAGTGTTACTGATGACAGGAGGAAGTGTTACTGATGACAGGAGGAAGTGTTACTGATGACATGAGGAAGTGTTACTGGTGACAAGAGGAAGTGTTACTGACGACAAGAGGTGTTACTGTTGATTACATGAGGTGTTTCTGACAACAACGCAAGCTTTTTCTCTTCGTTGAACACATACCAGGCTCATGAAAATTTTTCAGTTATTACTCTGGAATTCCATGAGTACTTCTGAAGACATGAGGTTTTCCTTAATATGTTTTCTTTAGGCATATATGAATTTCATTGCAAATAAAATAAGATAAAGTAATTTATGCAAATAATACCCTGATAATTATTCAGAATGCATAAAAATACTTAAAAATTATTCTTAGTCGTCTATGTAAATAATTCAATATTTTTAAACACAAAAAATTGTGGAGGTGTTGAGAGATATTTAAAGTTCTGTTTGAGTCGAGGAAACTGTAACCAATTTACATGAGAATCTTTGTTTACTAACTATGCAGAGTTTGGGACAATGGACTTAATTATGGATAGATGAGGTTAAGTTTTCTGTTGAAGAAGAACACATAAGTTACCTTGTCCAGATTTGCCAAATATTTACAATGTGATCAAACTTTTTGCAGAAGTGTTTTCTTAACCTTTTGATTTCAAGTTCAAAATATTTTTAGGAGTTTTACAAGATCATAGCATACAAATTCATAAAAAAATATTGGGGAACCACTTCTGTTTAAATATATGTTAATTATATTTGACACATTAAGGCATGCTAATTTATTGTAAACACCAACAAACAGATATCTGATCAGGTCCAAAATTGTATCTGGTGTGTGTCAGATAACAGTACCCTATAGAGACTGTATCTGGTGTGTGTCAGTACCCTATAGAGACTGTATCTGGTGTGTGTCAGATAACAGTACCCTATAGAGACTGTATCTGGTGTGTGTCAGTACCCTATAGAGACTGTATCTGGTGTGTGTCAGATAACAGTACCCTATAGAGACTGTATCTGGTGTGTGTCAGATAACAGTACCCTATAGAGACTGTATCTGGTGTGTGTCAGTACCCTATAGAGACTGTATCTGGTGTGTGTCAGATAACAGTACCCTATAGAGACTGTATCTGGTGTGTGTCAGATAACAGTACCCTATAGAGACTGTATCTGGTGTGTGTCAGATAACAGTACCCTATAGAGACTGTATCTGGTGTGTGTCAGATAACAGTACCCTATAGAGACTGTATCTGGTGTGTGTCAGATAACAGTACCCTATAGAGACTGTATCTGGTGTGTGTCAGATAACAGTACCCTATAGAGATTGTATCTGGTGTGTGTCAGTACCCTATAGACTGTATCTGGTGTGTGTCAGATAACAGTACCCTATAGAGACTGTATCTGGTGTGTGTCAGATAACAGTACCCTATAGAGACTGTATCTGGTGTGTGTCAGATAACAGTACCCTATAGAGACTGTATCTGGTGTGTGTCAGATAACAGTACCCTATAGAGACTGTATCTGGTGTGTGTCAGATAACAGTACCCTATAGAGACTGTATCTGGTGTGTGTCAGATAACAGTACCGTATAGAGATTGTATCTGGTGTGTAAGATAACAGTACCCTATAGAGACTGTATCTGGTGTGTGTCAGTACCCTATAGAGATTGTATCTGGTGTGTGTCAGATAACAGTACCGTATAGAGATTGTATCTGGTGTGTGTCAGTACCCTATAGAGACTGTATCTGGTGTGTGTCAGATAACAGTACCCTATAGAGACTGTATCTGGTGTGTGTCAGATAACAGTACCCTATAGAGACTGTATCTGGTGTGTGTCAGTACCCTATAGAGACTGTATCTGGTGTGTGTCAGATAACAGTACCCTATAGACTGTATCTGGTGTGTGTCAGATAACAGTACCGTATAGAGATTGTATCTGGTGT